CCTCCCTCCCTCCCTCCCTCCCTCGTTCCTTTCTTTCTCATTTCCCATTTTTTTACTGGAGTGAAATAGAGTACTAGATACAGGTATTTCTGCAGCTGTGGACTAAATTGCAGCAGCCTTGGAAATGTGTTGTTACTTTTTTACTTTTGTATTTTCTTGTAGTTGAATCTTGAGGCTCTGTTCTGTGGATCTTTGCTGGAATGATAGCTGTGTCCTCTTTTTCCTGGGAATTTAGTATGCATGTAAATAGCAACTTAAACCTTTGAAGTAGATGAATGTGAGGGAGGTAGAAATGGAGAAAACACACCTTTTTTTTTTTTTTTTATTCTTAGGATACAGGATGTATGTTTGGAGTAGGTGTAACTAAGAATTAGTGCTTGTCCATCAAGTCAACCCTTTCTTCTTTGTTCTTTTTACATTCTCATTCAGTAGTTAAAACATTTTGGTAGGTAGGTATTATGATCCATGTAACATGTCACTAAATAGTTCATAAATAATGTAAAAATATGGCTCACATGTTTTTCTTTTTTCTTTCTTCAAATTAAACTTAGGGGTTTTGAGTCTTCTTTACATCTCATCTGAAGTTACTAGTTTCCTTTTGATCTAAGGACTTCAGAATAACTGACTTTTAATCTCATATAAACATGAAACCCACATATGCCCTAGTAGCATACTATGAGTATTTCTGTTCAAATAAGCATGTTATTACCTCATATAATTGACTGACATGGCTACCATTGTTCTTCAGGTTAACCTTAGCAGAATACCATGAACAAGAGGAAATCTTCAAACTCAGATTAGGTCATCTTAAGAAAGTAAGTATAATGGGAAAATGTTTTTCAAGAGATGTAATTTCCACTTTATATAGGATACAGAAATGATTTGGACATTTGGACAAATACAATCATAGCTTTGTATGCTGTAGGAATTCTGCATTGCTGTTCTTACTTTCATACCTTGTAGTATTTTTATTTTTAAATCAGTGCAAGCCACTAAGTGAGAGTATGTTTTACCCCAGTGACCTATCTGTAGAAAATATGTCAATTCATAGAGCTACCCACATGATTGTCCTTAAAGCAGAAATGAAATACACAGAATTAATATGTCTGAGATTGATGGTAGGACTCCTGTGTTAATTTGAATAACATTAGTAGCTCTTATTTCTTGCCTAAAATAACTAAAGAGAATATATTGTACCATCCATATTCTAACACCTAAAAGAATTTGTTGGTGATATTCACTGAGATCTTTTTATTGAGGGTCAGAGATATGGTGTCCCTTTTTGCTTTTTTTGAGACAGTCTTGTTACATAGCCCAGGCTGGCCTTGAACTCAGGATCCTCCTGTCTCAGCTTCCTAAATACTAGGATTACAGGAATGTGGCAGTGTACCTTGCTTATCATTTTCATGTATGTGTGATATGAGGTGATTTTTTTGTTGTTGTTGGGTTGAGGTGCCTCTGTGTGTGTTTGTGTGTGTGTATGTGTGTGTGTGTGTGTGTGTGTGACAGTCAGAGAGAGAGAGAATATGAACCCAAGGTTTTAAGGATGCTAGACAAGTGCTTTACCATAGACTCAACATCTCTAGCCCAAAAATATAATTGTAGAATGTAAATTTTTTTTAAGCTCTTATGTTGAGCAGCCCAGGTGCTGGAGAAATGGCTTCGCTGTTAAGAGAGTTTAAGAGAACTTACTGCTCTTTTAGAGGACCTGAGTTTGGTTCCCAGCATGTCTGGCTGCTCAAAACTGCCTGTAACTTCAGTTCCAAAGATCTGATGTCCTCTTCTGTTCCCTGCTGTCACCTACACACATGGCATGCACATAGAGAGAGATACATACACATACATAAAAAACAAACACTTAAAAATTTCAACAGCCCATACATAATTGGTGGATGCTATTTATGATGCTGGTGGTCAGTTAAAATCTAATAAATTGTTACTTGTGTTGACATTAGTTTTCGTATATCACTCACACACACAGAGTTCTTAGATGTTAAATTTAAATTAGTGGAATTTAAGGTATCAAGTATAATCTATACCAAAAGTAGAGAATCCAACGACAAACCAGACTCTTGAGAGGTTTTGCAAAGCCTGTATGTACATGCATAAAGCATTCCTGGAGACTTACCAGAGGTCACATCTGAGGAGTGGGTGATGGAGTAGCAGGTTGACTAACTTTTCCAGTGTAGAATGTCTTCTGTTTGTTTTTACACGTCAAATAGATGTCATTATTTTTAAATGAAAAGGTAAAGTTCGCTGGATTCTGAGCTTTTTTTCCCCCCCTTTTCAGGAAGAAGCAGAAATCCAGGCAGAGCTGGAAAGGCTAGAAAGGGTTAGAAATCTACATATCAGGGAATTAAAAAGGATACATAATGAAGATAATTCACAGTAAGCAACTTGGGGTATAATGGGCTGGAGGTTGCTGAATATTTATTTTATGACGTATTGTCTAGAACAACGTTTTTACTTAAAATTTGCCAAATGAATCTAAAGTATATTTAGTTCCTTTTTAGGATATAAATTTTATGAACAAAATTATAATCTTTGTATTAAAAAGTAAGTTTATATCTGTATCTGTACAGCATTTTACATGCGTAGAGTTCACACAGTACAGCGTGGCAGCTGTCAGGGTGGGTGGGGTATGGCTTATAGACATAGCGATGGGGCCTTGAGAAGCGGAAGCATTGGCCACAGTGGTGCTGTAGAAAGGTGAGATCACGTCCATTTTCTGAGTAAGTAAAACTAGTCAGACTCTTCTATTTACCACATTAATTAGAGTCACGCTCACCTTTGTTTATGTGACTAAAATCAGGGAAAGTAGCTTACACGTGGGAAATGGCTTTGTCCCTGATTAGTTCTTTCCTCGTGTGTTGCGGAGGCTGTAATTAATATTTTTTTTTTCATGTAGCTATAGCTTGAAGATTTTTGTTTGACCGTGTGAACCATGACCATTATTCTGTCAAGTGGGAGGTACCAGCGCTTAGCATTTCCTGTGACCTTTATGTATCAGGAAGGAGTCTAAGTGCCCTTTGATCTCACAATTAATCCTCATAACAACCCCATAATCTTGCGTACATCAATCAGGAAACAAGTTAGAGAAATGAAGTTAATTTGACCAGAAGCCCAAATGAAGAGTCAAATATAGATCTAGTTAATTTAAACTTCCATGTAATACTATTATCTCTCTCCCATAGGTACACTGCTTTCTTAAATTCAAAATAAAGGAATTTCAGCATTAATGGGGAGACTGTTTAAGATATTCTTTTTTTTTTTTTTTTTTTTTTTTTTTTTGAAGTACTGGGGTTGAAGTGTAAGGCCTCATGCAAACTAGGCCTGCAGTCTACTGCCAAGCGATCTCCCTAGTTATCTTTCTACTTCTGATTTTGAGATAGGGTCTCACTGTATAGCCCTTGCTGGCCTTGAGCTTTCTCTCATTTTCCCTCTGCCTCCAGAGCGCTGGGATCATAGTGCATGCACTACTGGAAGAGTCTCTTTTGGGAATACATTGTGTCCTAGACTTAGATTTACCATAATGGACTTATCTAAAGAGGGAAAAATGAGTTGGGTTGCTTGGAACACATCTATATGTATTTCAAGCACTTGGGAAGCTAAAGCCAGAATATAATGAGACCCTGTCTCGAAACCAATAAAGGCGGGCCGTGATGGTGCATACCTATTACCCCAGTGCTCAGCAGGCTGAGGCAGGAGGATTGGGAGTTCTAGGCCAGAGTATGCCCTGTCCCCAAAAACTCAATTAGCTGGGTATGGTGGTACACAACTTTAATCCCAGCATTTGGGAGCTAGAGGCAAGTGGATCTCTGTGAGTTCAAAATCGGCTTGGTCTACATAGTGAGTTCCAGGCCAGCCAGGGCTACATAGTAAGACCCTGTCTCAAAATGGGGGTGGGGTGGTAAATTCATATAAAATACATGAAGTACTTTATCTTTAAGGCAATATAAAAATACTTTGGAACTTTATGCGGTTTTAAATTGCTAAGAAAAAGGAAGGAGATCAAAAACGGCCCCAAGTTTAGATGTGGCTACTGAGACTAGAACCAGTGTCAGGCTTCAATAGCTGTTACTGTTTATTATAATTGCATTGTTTCTTTGAGCTGGGTACTTTGTGCTCATAGTTCATAATATTGGTATCAGTTGTCAAATTCTGAGCAGTGGCTTTATAACAAATCATTTATTGTTGGAGATATTATAGCAATGTTGGAATATGGAAGACTATCGTCTTTGACCTCAGGATGTTACATATTCCGTTTCCACAGATTTAAGGATCATCCAACGCTAAATGACAGATATTTGTTATTACATCTTTTGGGTAGAGGAGGTTTCAGTGAAGTTTACAAGGTAAGTAGAAACAACTGGGTACGAAGGGTAATACCAGTTTGTGGACATTTTCAATACTAAGAACTGTGCAGTTTTATCTGTAGTTTTAAATTCAAAGCTTTATGGACTAAGATCTTTAGGAAAATTGCTTCCAATAAATTTCTTATCTTGTTTTTAAGACATTTTCTTTTTTTTTTCATTTTTATTTTATTTTTTCTGTTATCAGCTTGATACAGTATAAATTCTTATCCTAATAGTGAAATGTTTCATTGAGGCTTGCCCAGTAATTGAATAAAACCAAAACTTATTATAAGCCACAGTCATCCTAGGTTCCCCCCTGTTATATAGCCTCCCTGGATATTTTCACACTTTAGCCTAGACTGGCTCTAAAATCATAGTGGAATTCAGGATGTCCCCAACTCTTGGCAGTTCTCCTGCCTCAGCCTTCCAAGTATAGTACCACATGTGGCTGCTTCGGTCATTTGTAAGTGTCTGCACCAATGGCATTAAGTTCATTCACAAGTGTTGTGGACCTGTTCGCACTGTGTACCATGGCTGTACCTTTAGGGCAGTGCTGAGCTGATCTGCAGTAGGTTATTCACACTTAGTCCTGCTTTGAAAGTCTGTGCTGGTCAGTCTGACTGACAGGCTCATGCTCACCTTTTGTTTGCAAGTAACGGGTGAGCTTGGATGACACAGTTATCCTGGCTCCTTAGGAAGAGTTGTGAGCAGGGAGGCCTTTGTTAGCTTATTGAAGGTTTGTGTACCAGCTTACCACGGTCACCTGTGTAGTGACCATTTTGTAAGAAAACCTTTGTCTTCCTTCCTTCCTTCCTTCCTTCCTTCCTTCCTTCCTTCCTTCCTTCCTTCCTTCCTTCCTTCCTCCCTCCCTCCCTCCCTCCCT